TTTCACTCTAGTAAATAGAAATACATTTATTCTGATTTTTTAAATATTAAAGTTATAATACATTATGTTTTATTATAAATTTAATAAACTGATTCTCCTTTTTGTAGTATTAAGATTATGATAAATTTAAAAACTTAATGAATTTATTATGATTTTTAATACTAAACTTATAATAAATTATGATTTATTATAAAATTTAATAAACATTTTCTGATTTTAATAAATATTTTAAAAAATGCTAACTAGTTAATATTTTATTACTTGAAAAATATTTTATGTTTTATATTGTAAAGTAATTAATTTATTCTTTTGTTTTTTATTTTGTTAATTCTTTTTTATAAATATTTTATTTGAAATATTAAATAGAAATTATTAATGGAATAATTTATATTAATATACTGTATTATAATTATATTATTAATGTACATTAGTCGACATCCTGTCGACATTATCGACATCCTGTTGACATAATAGGAAAAACTGTCATTTTTTTGGTTATTTGGGCCGATTTGGTCGACATTTCCAAAATATAGGAAATGTCGACCGAAATAATGTAATTTTTATATTACCATCCATTTTCATGTCGGTGAGCCTCGACATCGACATATGTAGGGTGACATTAGCGACATTTCGCGACATTTGAAACCATGGGTTTATCATGTTTAGTATGATTAACTGGTAAGAATTCTTGGGGCAAAGCTATGGTTGTAAAAAGAAGAGTTAGAATGGTAATGAGGTAAGGCATTGGCTGAGTAAGCACGTTGGTGGAATCTCAAGGTTGTATGATGAGCTTATTGATGGCATAAAATTGAAGGTGGGTCATGTTGACAAGTATTGCTTTGGGAAGTCATGTAGGGAAGAACCTTTGAAATATGTTTCTCCATCTTCATTTGTAATTACCAGTTATTCTTTTTTGGGGTTCAGAAGCACAGTAACAACTTTACTTCCAATGTAGAAGAAACCTTAATGATTTGGTGGTTGTAGGATCTTTTTTGTTTTAAGAAAAGTTAAATAATAAGATTATTTACACTGCAATGATGGTGGAGAAATTCTTTATCTGCTTTGTTTTTTATTTTTTGATCAGAAACACAGAAAATTAATTCATTAAGAAAAAATAATGAAGTACAACAAGAAGTTGCGGAGGATACAAATAGGCACCAGTTTCTAAACCCCAAGCATTACAACTGAGCCCAAAACATAGACTGTCTTTGTACACCTTGCTTAGCAAGACCATCCACCAAACAGTTAGTAGATCTTCTGACCCATTGGACTTTGAATAGACATGTCCCTAGAAAGCCATTTGTACCTCCTAAGGTCGTTCCTTAGATGCCAAGAGACTCCTCGTTTCTTTAACTAGTCCACCACTTTGGAATGTCCTTCAATGATTAGCCTTTCAAATCCCAATTCCTTGGCTTTCTCAAGGCCAAAGACAGCAGCTAAAAGTTCTGCTGTAGCCACATCATTTTTCTCAACTGGACCTGAAAATAAGGCACAAATATTACTTTCCTCATTTCTAATCACCCCTCCAATTCTTTATCTGCTTTTTCCTCTCTGCCTAACCTATTTGGACGCCCTTATTTCCTTAATAAAGCCCATTTAGGTTCTCAATACTTAAAGGATAGATTTTTGCAAAGCCAGATTTCCATTATTTGACTTCTACTCCTACCCCTTCCCATTCTTGGAAAAAAGGTTTCTTTCATTGCCTCTACTACATGTAAAGAAATTGATGCAGGAGCTAAAGAGTCAAAATTGGAATTTTGTGAAATTTTATTTTATTTTTGATCAATAAACACGTATTTTATTTAAAGTTAAGATTGAAACAGTTAAAACTTTGTGAAATTTTATGTATTTTTGGACACTAGGGATAATTTTGTTATCTTATAATATTTTTGTAGGGTCCAATAATAGGGTTTGATTGTTTATTTATAGTTTGTTTATGTTTAAAATTTTAGAGTCATTTCATAAGTAAGATTAGAGGTGTAAATTGAGTCGCGCCGCCCGCGGCCCGGCACGATTTTGAGCCAACCCAACCCGATGGTCCACGGGTCGTGTCGCGGCCTAGCACGATTTGTATGGGCCGTGTCGGGCTTGGGGTTTCAGGTCAGCAGGCCAGGTTGGCACGACCCGGTACGACCCATATATATATGTTTTATATATATAATATATTATATATTATATATTATATAATTTATAATTATAATTATATAATAATATATAGTATATAATATATTAATAAAATAAACAAAATTTTCAATTTTATTATACTATTTTATTTAATTATTGTATATATAAGCAA